ATAATCTAACCCAAAGGAGCTAAAGAAGAAAGTTTCATCGTTCTAACATCGAAAATGATGAATTCCCATACAAACTAAAATCCCCTATTTTATTTTACTCCCTTAAGGATAAATTTTCTACAAACTTTAACGTTAGGTATATTTATTTATATTTAATGAATAGCCTAAAAATAAGTTACAAGTTTCTAGCTTCAAAAATGACTATACTTTGATACATCCCTTTTTCGCATTAAATAGTATCCTATGTCCTTTCTCAGGCTCTAGACTCTCTGTGTACCTACCAAATTTCATTTAAATCGGTTCTGTAGTTTTTGCATATAAGTGCGACACACAGACAGAATTATTTTCGCATTTATAATATTAGTAAGGTAAGATTAATTGTTAACTTGTAGAACTAAATAAACAAGGTAAATCAAGACTATTGTTTTATTGTCTGACGTGGTCGAGTTGAGTAGTCATGCTCACTAAAATGCCCAGACATGTGGCGGCGTGGTGGGCCGTGTCATTTGAGCTTCCTAAAATATGATCGAGCGCAGTGATGGCTGGCTCATCCGTCACACTCGTGAACAAGTGCTGCTTGTGGGGATTGGTTTGTTCTAATCACTACGACTGATTTACTCTTACTTGGTTAAAGCAGCTTGCTTTGTAAGCTGTTTCGGTTGTAAGGTGCAGATTAGGCAGTGATAACACAGGATAAGAGGCATGAGTGGTATCACGGTCTCATGATAACGTGATGTTCATGTATATAGGACCGTCTATATACCTACCTGATTACCAATAGGTGAGCCGTAAGCTTGTTTGTCATTTCAATTATATCAAATGTCTAGTTACTCGCCCTGGCTTCGGACGAGTGTACATGTATTATATATATAAACCTTCCTCTAGAATCACTCTATCTACCAAAAAAGCGATTCAAAATTCGTTGCGTAGTTTAAAGAATTAAGCATACAGGGACGGACATACAGCCACAGCGACTTTGTTTTATGCTATGTAATGTAAAACTTTACCTAAATATACCTTTTAGTTATATCACTTGATATATAAGACAGATGCCCAGCCAATCTAATCTCGAAACCAATCTGCTAATAAGAATCAGGTTCACTTCCGATGATCGCGGGTTCGATTCCTCGCACGATGCAAACATTGGTATTTATAAGTAATATTGTTTGTATTGGTCTTTTTTACATATTTTATGTATGTAAACAATGTATGTATTTATATCAGTTGTCTAGTTGTAATATTATGTTGTCTGTGCTAGTACCCATAACACAAGCTCTGCTTAGCTTGGCACTAGATGAATTGGCGTGTATTGACCTGTTATTATTATTATATTACTAGTTGTGCCCGCAGTTGTGTTTAGGCGCGATATATTTCTATAAAAAATATAGCCTATTCTGATGTATAAGCGATATTACTGTAAAGTTTCATCAAAATTCATTCAGTAGTTTATGCGTGGAAAAGTAACAAACATATTACAAAATTTCGAATTTATAATATTGAAATACTTGTTCATTTGAGCACATCGACTTTTTAGGACGCCAACATACCACCTTATACAGTCTTCCACCTGACCTGTGACATAAACAGTACTAAAATTACAAGTGACACAAATAAAACCAATACTAAAAACAACAGTATATTTATTTTTTACTCTTTTTATCGGTTTTCTCTCTCTTCCTCTTGTTGAGAGGATTCCTCGGGTCGTATATGTCGAACCAGTCGTCACTCTTTGTGGACGCGTCCTTAGCTAACACTGCGCCTTTATCCTCGAAGCGGAGCGTGTGGCCGAGCCTTAACAAACAAGGTTGCATATTTAAAATATCAAGAAAACAGAACATATATCATCATGATCTGCTTCTTCTTTATCCCATCTATTTGGTCCGACACCAAATAAATGGGATAAGGAAGAACATGTTTTTCTCTTCTATTCATATTCATCATTCATCTCTTACTATATCATCTGTCACAGTCCATCCATCTCTTATTCGGCTTTACTCTGCCCTTATAAGCATCCACATTCATATGTAGTACTTTCTTTAAAATATTCTCTTAATTCCTACGCATTACATACCTTTTTTATTGGGGGTTTAGGCTATTGTCAGGTGCTTGGACTTGTAGCACTGCGACCTACATAGATCTATTGTGCTCGCTCTTTTTCAGACCCGTCTGGGACATGAATTTAAGGAATATCCTTCAATTCTTAGGAGCGATGTTTTTATCTCCTAACACTACCTATATCATGACGGACGATAACTCTTCTACTCACGCACAACGGCCCGAATGAGAGGCTAATTGCAGAGACTGGAGTCCAACATACAACTCTTCTACTTCTTCGACACTTTCATACTTCCTCTAATGTACTTTTTCATTTATCTTGTCCATTCTTATCACATCACATTTAATAAATTTAAATATTTTAAAACATATATGTAAATTAAATGGAAGAAATATATAATCTAGTACTCACCATTCATCAGTATTAACGTCATCATCTTTCACCTCTTCGCTCTCCCCCTCTGTCTGTACCTTTTCTTTAATGGCGTGAAGTTTGTTTTTGAACTTAGCCAGCAAATCGAGGGTGAAACTTTCTCTGTAACAAAATAAATTATTCAAAATAAACTTAATATTGGCTAGGGCATATAGGTCCCCAAACTTTATTTAGTAGTATTAGTATTACACTAGTCTTGTTTTGCGAATTTGATTTCACCCTTTGCCAATCTACTGTCATAGAAAAATCTTACTGGCGTACACTTTGTACAAAGTCATCTGTGTGGGTACCCCTGTCGCACCTATTTTCCCCGATAGCAGCAGCTTGCTTTTTTTTGCTGTTTTTTTTATATATATATTTACAGACAAATTAATATAAAACCAAAATATAATCATCCAATCGCTGCTCAGTACCTTGTCTATAGCAAAACAGTTTAATACATATATTCACATAAACATACTCACAATATGCCCTAATATTTGTTTAAGAAGTTTAATCATTTTTAAATGTTTGAAGGGTAGTAATGATATTACAGAGTACTGAAGTATCAGAAGCATTACATCTTAGTCCTTAAGTATTGCAATGCATACTACGAGCCTCACGTGATTGCGTGATATCCGTAGTGCTGTATATGTAAATAGGCTATGGTTAAAAAAAATAAGTGTATATATACACTTATTTTTTTTTAAATATATTATTCTTAATTTTGACGACCTCGGTAGTCTAGTAAACCGCTTTAATTTTGATATTTACAGGTTTTTATATGTATAGATTTGGCAGCGAATGTTTTCGATTCAGCGTATGCTGAGAGGATGCACTATGGTTGCCAATTGCCCTCAGGTGGGTCATCCGCTTGCTTGCCCTTCCTACATACATTCCAATACATAGTTCATGTCATATTGCTAGAGCTAAAGAAAAGGCAAAACATTGGTACATTTATTTATTAAAATTAAAAATGTATAAAACACTTTTTAAAGTTCTTATTTTGTGCCCTAAATAATACTAATACAAACTGATACACTACCACATAATAATTGAATCACTTTGTGACGTCACTTAAAATGTAACTATTCCGTCTTCCGAACACTTCCATAGTATAAGCAGGTATTATTACCGACTTACTAGAGCGAAATGCATTCGATAATACTGGCCACCAATAAAAATATGCGGCCATTTAAATTATGAAGAACAATCTTTGTGACGTCACATAAAAATCTAGTAATTCTTCCGTATTTCGAAGACCTTAGCATAAGCAGGTTGTATCGCCGACCTACTAGAGCGAAGGGAGTTCGTTAATACTGGCCATCAATAACAACAAGTGAGTGATCATTTAAATTTCGAAGCACAATTTTTAATTCAAAATAAGAACTGAAAGAGAAAGGACGCTTCGTATGTTTACTGTTTTAAAATAAGAATGTCAGTGACTTAATTGATTTAATATAATTGTTTTTAATCAAATCTAAAGTGTAGAGTGTGTATATTACACGTCGTTACGCGACGTTTCTGAGCAAAGGTAAGTTTGTTGATACTATTGCTTATTATGGAGTGTTCGGAGTGTGGAAGACGTTCTTCCTAGGCGAAATCGTATTTCTCCTTCCATTCCATAAACTATTTTATTTCTACAAACTACAGTCTACTCTCTATTTATATTTCTCCTTTATAAGGATTCGTAATCTAACAGTAATTATATGTTAAACATTGGCAAAAATTTGATGGTTTCATACATTAAAAATATAAAATTTCTATACATATGATAATATATAACTGGTTTTGCTGTCTGTACGTAGAAGATATATATAAAAAAATATTTTACTTTCTTTAATAAAGTAATAACACAAAACAAACATTGATACACTTTTTATGTTACCAATTCTCTTAAAATTTATTCCATCTGAATTAAATCCAATCTCAATGAAAAGATAGGGATATGAATCTGGCATCTGAGCTAGTATTTAATAAAAGAACACTCATCTATGCATAACTAAACCAAAGACAATTACAATTATAAAAGATGTATCATTGATACTAAACCTCTTTTACATTTACACAATACAGACAACAAATTACGTCTATAAAAGTCTGAAACTTTTTTACAAAGCCGTTTGTTATTCCTCTCTCTCTCTCTATCTCCTTTTCACTCACCAGTTCAATATTTAATTATTTCTTCCTATAACCTAAAATACCTGTATAAATTTAGAATACCCATTTTGTATTATATAAATTAAAATAATCCACAGAATAAAAGCGTAATGTATATACAAAAAATGCAGTCAAAATCAAAACTTCACTATTTAGAAGTTGGTTAAAAATAATATGACAATTGAATATTGTTATGATGGAATTTTCTATTTTATTTTCATTATTAAAATTAGTGTGTAACATTTTTGAGCAATAAAATTATAAATATATTCTATTCTGTACCACTTTTATATCAAATAAAACAAAAATAGTAAATGACTTCTTATTTAACATAATTTTATGTCATCATATATTTTCAGTTATATATCCATTGAATAACATTTAAATATCACCAACGACCTCTTCCAAATCATCAGAGTCATTAATGATTGCCTCATCCCAAGGCCCGTACTTATTATCTTTGTAGACTTGCCATCTTACAAACAAGAACGGTAAGTAAATACTTAATATAATAACAACTAGTACAAAATAACAGAACAACGTAACAGATACGCTGTACAAACACACGAAAGTAACAAGTAAAGTGATAAAAAATAACGGTAAAAATAACCTAGTATGTAATAATACTTTGAACAATTGCGGACTTAATACAAATAATATCACAGAAACTGTTAACAGTATGAACGCGTCAAAAGACGTTGATAATCTTGATACTAGACACATAGAGGCGAATATAGCTGCGTTTATTGATAATGATTTTGATACTAGCGCCACGGCGACGTCGTAATCAAAAAATATCAGATGTATCAACATCATAATAACAGCCCATGCGTATATTGTATCGGTACTAACCGTATCGGTTAACGTATGAAATATCGGCGATAACAGGTATCCTATTACGATATATATTAAAACAGTTTTAACGTGTAACAGAGTAGCTGTTCCCTCTAAATAAATATATAACATGTGACATATCAAAGTCACTGCAGCCGATATATATATCACTGTGTACGTTTGCACGAACTTATTATACATATACACATACACAATCGCATATAGTACACACAAACACAGTCGTAGAACAACCCGGAATGAGCCTTGTATAGCTTGCAGTAAAGTCACTTTTTCAATGTTAATATTCTTTCGCAAATCTTCTAGAAACTTCTTATCCGTATAGTTATCTGGGTAATCTCTGTTTTCGTACAAATTCTTCACCCACGGTTTTCTCTTTGCTTTCCTAATGATCTTCGACCGGCGGGCTCTGAAAATCGTTGGTTCTTCAATTAGACATTTCTTGAAATTTATTCTTCTAAATTTCTTGACACAATTATCACCAGGAACATACGAATTAACTTAAAATAAAAAAAAGGTTACGACATTGAAGAAATACAGAAAATACCGCATGTATATTTTAAAATAACTACTGTGTAACCGTTACCCGAAACTTCGTCTGTTTCTTTTTAAGATATAAGTAGCCTACGATTGTTTGACAGCCTCGGTGGTGTAGTGGTATATTGATGGTCGCGGGTTCGATTCCTCGCACGGTACAAACATTTTTATTCATGGGTATGATTGTTTTGTGTGTTTACTATGTATAATATGTATTTATTTTAAAAAAATGTAACCATGTATCAGTTGTCTAGTACTCATAACACAAGGTAAGGAGAGCTTGGGACTAGATGGCGCTGTGTGAATTGTCTTGACATACTGTATATTATATTATTGTCCTCATGATACATTATAATATTACTATCTTTTTATTATGATACTACGTCCTAAATGGACTTGTATATTTCATATACAATTAAAAATCTTATAGTGATTATTTTAAGGTTCAATTTCTTTAATCATTGGCAATAACATCCATTTACTTAAGGAGTAAATATACCCTAGAACTTCAGCTCCAGGACGCAAGCAGAAACCGGGACCTTGTTTACGTAAAATACCATGAATATAAGTAATTGTGCTCAGAGCGTCGTAGAGTATTAGTTACTATCTCATTAAAACAAAACTCAAAGGTTGATCAAATTAGGCTGACACCAAAAAAAATTCTCCTTGGTGACAAAAACACCAATAACAAACCTAAGATTAAATCGAGGGACAATGGTAAGATCGCTTCCTGCCATGTTGGATTCAAATATTCTCAAAGAAATATGTGCATGTTAAGTGTTGCTATTGCCGACGTCGACAATTGCATCAGTCTACCCCATCTGGGATAAGAGTCGTTACGATATGTATAACCAATAATAACTTACCTGGCTGCACCCTTTTTCGGTATCTTCTCCTTCATCTTCCTATATTTGTCCTGCTCTTCCACATACTGTTTGTACATCTCGTTATCCTCTTCTAAATTCTTATCCTGCTTCTCTTCTTTACTCTCTTCGTTCTTTTCTTCTTTGGGACCTTTCATCTCTTTTTTTAGCTGTTTTATCTCGTTTCTTATGCGATCTCTGAAAATAACAATATACATAAGAATATATTAGTGTTATCAAATAAAAAAAATATTCATGTAGGACATTTTGGCCACTTATGAATGTCAAATTTAATTGTATTAATATTTTTATTATACTCCTACTATGTACTAATATTATTACCCACTGTCTTTGATTTTGATCACCAACAGAGAAGGTCGAAACGCTTCCAGTAGCGGTAGTGAGGTTTCTACACTATACAATATTTATCAAGTAGTTTCAATATATAATATATTTTGTTTTACAAGTGGAAGTGAAATAAATACAAAGTAATATAAATCCATTAACATTCTAACATATTTTTAATTATACCAACCTCTCTTTTTGTCTCTCCATATCTCTGTCTTTCCCTAAATAATACTCTTCCTCTGAACTCTCTTCTCCGTCTGTATCATTCTTTTTCTTTTTCCTACTCCCAACTTCTGGACTCTTTTCTCTTTTTGTGTTTAATTTCCCTCTTATGCTACTAACAGCCTCTGCAGTCTTTTGTTTCTTCTCTTCTATTTCTGCACTCGTTTCTTCTTTGTCTATTTGTTCTTCCAATTCTAATTCTGTAAAGAAAGAACATTCCATCACTGATTTATTCATAAGCTCTCCTAGTTGAATATCTTACTAATATTATAAATGTGAAAGTTTGTGAGTATGGATGGATGTTTGTTACTCTTTCAAGCTAAAACTACTAAACGAATTTTGATGAAACTTTACATTAATATAGCTTATACATCAGAATAACATATAGGCTATAATTTAATAAGATATGTAAATTGGGCGAAATATAATGATAAATGTCAAGTAAGTGTGATGCAGACGAAGTTGCACGGGACAGCTAGTACATCATATATTTGAGGGAGCAGGACATCGCTTAATGTAAATTTTTATTAATAACACTAAATGAGCTCTCACATTATTACCTCATTTTTTAATCATATACTGATTATAATGACAAATATGCTGACGGCCCAATTGATGTTATGTTGTAACCGTCGCCTATATACGTGAACAGCACCATAGACATCATGTTATCATGTGACACCCGTGATGTCACTCATGGGTTGCCAATCCACAGGACTTAGATGTCATGCCTCTTATATAAGATAATTTCATTGCTTAATCCTTCGAACGTTTTGACACAGATCTGTGCGCCCCTGTTAAACCGTATTACCGTTTTGTCACAGATATATGCCCGCAAAGCCGAGACTTCTTTTTAACCAATTTAGTCCTTATTTAAAATAAAATAAGATTGAAACACATTTGAAAAAATACAGCTGGCACGCGCATACCGCCTCTTCACTTTCAGTCGCTGCGACAGACTACAGACATTTGAAAGGTTAATCTGTACCCTGTAACCGAAACACAGCTCACAAAACAAGCTGTTTGGCGTCCTTAATAGGTGAGACTGAGGTACCCATGCAGACTATTTTGTAGTCTACTTTTTGTAAAACATGACAAGAATGGGAGATATAAGGTCAGCATTACGATATTTATTAACCATGATAATTGATATTTAGCACTTACCGGCCGCCGTTTTCTTGCTAAGTTTAGGGTCTTCTAGAAGATCGTGCGTGGACTTCGGCTTCCCTCTGTACTCTTGTGCTTCGCCTTCCTCTTCTTCCGCCTCTTCTCCGAACGACAGTAGGCCGAAATTTCTAGTTATAATAAAAATATAATGATCTATATTTGACGTCGGTAGTCTAGTGGTTAAGTATACGCATATAATAGATTTCAATGAAACTTTATAATAATATAGTTTATACATCAGAATAACACAAGAGCTGTAATTTATAGAGATATTAGTGCGAACTGTGCAAAATAAAATCATATGACATTACTTGTCATATAATTTTATTTTATTAGGAAAAAATTCTGCCATCTGTGAGCTATTCTATCGTTACGCCTTCACGACTAAATCACTGAACTAATTTTATGAATTTTTGTATAAAGATATATATAACCTTGAAATGAGGTGGGACAGCACTATTTGAAATTAGAATTTTTATTTATTTGTTAAGTTCTCTGTTACATATAGATAGTAAATTTTCAGTTTAGAACTAAAGATATAAATTCCAAACACCAAGCTACCAAAACAGGGCAAGTTAAATATATTAAAATAAAAGAGACTACTAACTTAATCCCTTGTCGCTCCTTTTTCTTCTTCTTAGGCGCCTCCTCAACACTGGTCTCTATAACCCGTGGCACTATGTCTGTGAATGGGTTAATCAACACTGCAGTGCTGGTGATCTTCTGGGGGTGCTCGGGCCGATCGTCGGGGCCTATTAGACCCTCACTTAACTTCAACACGTTGTATATTGTTTCCCCTGTAAAACAATATGGAATATTGTAAAGTATTTTATGATTAGCATGTGTGAGAACACAAATATTCAGTGATGAAACATGACTACCGTTTCTGGAAGAGATACGACCTTCTATATTGGTGATCAAATTTCGACGGGTATTTAGTTCAGCGACCAAACCACTATCGAACAACCAACACTAGACTTCCAAGCTATATCCATACTCTATTGCCTGATGATACCTCGTTCAGAGGCGAAACACATGTCGCAATATATATGTGTGTAGAGTAGTGTAGACTCAAATAACGTTCGGATTTTGATCACCAATATAGAAGGTCGTAATGCTTCCAATAGCGGTAGTCAAGTTTCCACACTAAATGACTACAATCTGGAAGTTAATTATTTTGCATGAATTTTAATGAAATTTTATATATGTGTTAATCTGTTTCAGAATAACATATAGGCTATAAATTTCAGGCGGGTGTAACCGCAGGCAGAGGTAGTATTAAACAGATCTAGAACCTACCATTGTAATATCCTTCTATACATTAGTTGCATTAAAAACAACTTTGCAACTGACCTGTAACCTTTCCGAAGATAGTGTGTTTGTTTTGAAGCTCAGGAGTTGCAGCGAGTGTGAAGAAGAACTGCGATCCATTGTCGTCCTTACCAGCGTTGGCCATCGCAACCAGCCCTCGTCGGTTGAAACGAAGACGAGAATGAAATTCATCCTGTAAATAAAATTGATTTCATAGTCCGCAAGCCAGCCTCTGGCTTTTTCCTTTCACTCAAAAATGTCATATGCTATTTTAAATAAATAATATAAATTTAAATTTAACTAAATTGGTCACCTTGATCTGTTCCTAGCAGCCATTATTACCACCCCAGTCATACCTAACGTGATCCTGCTTCCAATGGAATGGCCGGACTATTCTTCTAAATATTTTTTCTCGCTTTTACAATCAGAAAAAAAATTATTATTCATTACTCTACCTTAAATGGGGCTCCATAGACTGACTCGCCTCCCGTTCCATCCCCATTTGGGTCACCACCCTGCACAATGAATCCAGGTACCACACGATGGAAAATTGTGCCTGTAAAAAAGTAATATAATAATATATTCCTACCAATTTTAATAATAAATAACCCTGGGCAATTAACACAGTGCTATCTAATACCATGGTAAGCAGAGTTTTTGTTATCTTTATTTTGATGAAACTTGACAGTAATGTAGCTTATACATGAAAGCTCAGCCTATGGCTGAGCATATACATAGGCTATAAATTTAATGGGTGAAACTGTTAGCTAGTATTAGATTGTTCTAGAACCTACCATTGTAGTATCCTTCCATACACAGTTGTATGAAGTTGCGACATGCTTTAGGTGCTTCTTTTGTCCATAACTCAATGTCTATGTCTCCAGCGCTTGTCTTCAATAAAACCTACAACACATTATATTTTTATATATACAAAATTCTCATGTCACAAAGTTACCATACTCCTCTGAAATTACTTGACCAATTTTTATGAAATTTCATATACAGTAGGTCTGAGAATCTGCCACTATCTATTTTTCATACCCCTAATGATGAAGGTTGTTCACCCCTAACATATTTTCTTATATTTTGGTCAAAACATTGTTTTTTATTTTTTTATAATGTGGCATTAAAAAATACATATAACCTTAAATTTTCACCCTTCTATCACCAACCCTTATCTTTTTATAGTAATTGGCAAAACAATGTTTGTGAGGTCAGCTAGTATTACATATGTTTTACCTTTGTTATATGTTTGTTTTTACAAATTGCTGATTGTTTTTCTGGCTACTTTGTCTACAGATTTTGCTACAGTCCTGACTACCATTTTGAGAATTTCTCTTTAATGATTTATGTTTAAAAACATGCATGTCTCACCAGTCAACAGTCCCACAACAAATCTGTTAAAGGCTTGGTGAGCCGATTGCGAGATACAAAAGGAAAAAAAAAACATGCATATATTTAGTTATAGAAGAACTCCATCACTTTTAGAGTACACCATGAAAAGCATAGGCTATCATTATTTTTTAATATGCATTTTAGATAATAAACTATTTCTATATTGCCAAGTAAACAAACTTGATTAATTACTTATTTAAAACTATTATAGGATGACTATTAACATTCATAATGTGTCCCTTAGTGTATTGAACACATTCTCATTTCAAAAAGGGCCTCATAATGAATTTATTATTATATATTATTATTATTTATCCAATAATACTTTTAAGTTAAATATAATTATAAGGAAATGGAGACATATATATGTATACAATTAGTGTACATTACATTTATGTATTATATTATTTATTTAAGAATTACAAATCGTAAGATAACAGACTCACTTTGCCTAAAGCGGGCGGTTCCTGAATGTATATATTACTCATTCTACTTCATTTATTTTATATTTGGATGATAAACCTTATAGTGATTAAAATTTAAAATGGAATAATGTAACTTAATTTAGTTTTTATTTATAAGTCGAATATTATTCTTAAAAGATGAAGGACGTAAAATAAAATACAAACACAAACGAAAATTGTCACAGACTTAAGTCAAAAGTCAATAAAATTGCTCTGTGCTCACAGTGACAGATAATGTCATTCGATTATATGTTATCTGTGGGATAGGTAATATTGTCATAAATGTAATGTGAATTGTAATCGATTATTCGATTATAGTAAGTCATTGATTCAATAATGCTTCATTGAAAGTATTATCTGTGATTTTAAAACACAGCTAAAATCAATGACGACTATTGTTCCAGGGAAAAGTTTTCAATGTCTATAAAATTAATGCTCACGAAAGAATTCTAAAAGCAGGAACCGAGGTTCTTAGGGTGAATTAAGGCAGTGAATTCACAAGATATGACGACATCCCACCACCTATGCGTGAAGTGAAAACAAAATATACTTTCCGAAAGCATTTTAAAGAACATTTGCTACAAGTTCAAAAAAATAATTGATAATAACGATAAAGGATTCACTAAAGGCGCGTGGGTGGCGACATTTTCCTTGGCTGAAACTATTTGCTGGTACCAGAGAGCGAGTGTTATGGATATTTTTATTTTAATACTGCGATACCGTTATTAGAATACGTAAAATGCACCGTACGCATCACTGTGGGTATATATATATTTTTTTTTATTTTATTTCTTTATAATTGTTTATTTTTTCTTTTATCCATTACGTATATAACGTTTTAGGATTATTTAAGATTATTAATATGTAATTTTACTTTTTATTATTTATATACTTTTCTCTTGATATTATTATTTTTATTTTAATTGTATAATATCTGATTTATTAAGTTAATGTATATGTATTTTTTAATTGTAATATTTGCGCGTCCGTACTGTGGGCCCAACTGAAAGTCAGCGCTGGAAAATATTTCCAGCATTATGCTGAGTTGTGGCCCACATTGACTCCGTTTTTTAATGTGTAAATTATTCTTGTATTTCTTATGTTATTACTGTAAAAACGAGTTAATAAAAAAAAATTCTACATAGCATCTCAGTCCCCCGGAAAAACAATTACATGAGTGGTTTTATTTTTTGAACAACTAATGCTGTTGGCCGCGGCTGGCCTTTACAGCTTTACCGCATGAGTGGTAACATGGGCGTCATGATAACATAATATTGGTAGTATTGTTGATTTATATAGACGAGGTTCAGCAATTACCGTCAGGTGGGCCATCAGCTTGTTTACAATTATATAAAATACTAACTGTTCACGCGACTTCGTCCGCGTGGAATTTAACTTTATATTTCTAGAATAAAATATATATACATATATATACCTAGCCTAAGTCACTCATTACTACATCTGCTACCTGCCAAAAAAAGTCACCCGTCAAAATCAGTCCCGCCATTTCAGAGATTAGCCGGAAGTAATTGCTGACTTTGAGCTATGTAATAAATTTGATATTTAATTTTTGTAGCACTTTAGAAAATAAAATAATATTGATGTTAGCCTGTATTATCCTATATTTGAATTACCTTTTCAAGAAATGAATTAAAACCGCAATAAAAAAAGTAAAACACATTTTTATAATAACAAATTTATTTTATACGACTGTTATAACAAATCTGATAAATAATAATTTTATGTGTCAGTCACATTGTTAGATTGAACAATTACATTTTTTCAATAGACCATAGGGGTTCCATATCCGTAGCCTGGACCATATCCAAACCCTGAGCCAAAGCCTGGACCAATACCTGGTCCAAAGCCGGGTCCAAACCCGGGGCCAAATCCGGGATTAAATTCAGGTCCTAATCCGGGGCCAAAACCTGGTCCAAATCCTGGGTTAATTCCGAGTCCTAATTCCGGCCCTAATCCGGGACCAAATCCAGGACCGAATCCAGGGCCAAATCCAGGGTTAAAGCCGAGTCCTAATTCCGGACCTAATCCAGGCCCAAATCCAGGTCCAAATCCGGGTCCAAATCCAGGCCCAAATCCAGGCATATACCCTGGGCCATACATGGGACCAGGTCCAAATCCAGGGCCATAACCAGGACCAAATTTAGGACCACCCAAACCCCCAAGTAAAGCAGCAGTTAATTCCGTTTTCGATAAACCGTTTCCAAATCCATAACCATTGGATCCCTTTGATAAAAGCAAAGCAATGAGTTCTGCTTTACTTAGTCCAGCGCCAAATCCGTTAATATTGCCTAAACCAGCTGCTAATTCGGCACCAGCTAAGCCTGCATTGTAACCTCCTCCAAGAGTAGCTGCAGCAATTTCTGCACTGGCAATTTCAGCACCGGTGAGACCCGCACCTAAACCGGCTGCAATTTCAGCGCCAGCCAAACCACCATATCCAACATTACCATATCCACTTGCGAGACTAGCGGCAGCAATTTCAGCACCAGTAAGACCAGGTCCGAACCCGTTCCCTAAACCAGCTGCTATTTCAGCACTAGCCAAGCCACCAAATCCACCTGCGAGGCCAGCAGCGGCAATTTCAGCCCCAGCAAATCCAGGACCATATCCAGGGCCGAAACCACTGTTCAAACCAGCTGCAATTTCCGCACCAACTATGCCAGCTCCGATGCCCCGTCCACCATATCCTCCAAGGTTAGCTGCAGCGATTTCCGCACCAACTATACCAGCTCCTAAATTGGGACCATAAGGACCGTAACTGGAGGTTGGGAAGGGACCAGTTCCAATTGCAGCTAATTCGGTATTGACTAAGCTAGCACCCAGATTAGGCTTTCCAAGGAATCTCTCTGCAAGATCCACTCCCATCAGCCCTTCCATACATGGACAAAGACTGAGCGCATTCTGAAAGAAATAATACACAAATATTAGACAATCATTTTACACTACACTAATGTCTCGCCCCAACCCCGCTCGTGTAAGTACAATTATTGCAGACATCTGTTCATGTCTAATATAACATACATCATTTTACTTTTATGTCAGAAGAGGATTGTTAGTAATATGCCATGCCAGGTTGACCTCCACGCGTCGCCTCGGAAACCATCGCGGTCAGTTCCTGATGAAATCGCAACGATCGGTCAACTAAACTACATTAATTCTCATCCTACTATCCTCCACTGGTGCCTCATCAGAGTATACCGTTAAAGCAGACTGCTACATCATTCCATTATCGATCATTAAATATATAAATAAAGCCTTCTATGGGTAAAAAAATGATTATTTTAGTGTTATTTGGAAAATTATTATTATTAAGAAAGCGTCGTGCAGATACTATCTCAACTTACACCGAAAGGGCATTATCTTAAATCTAGCCGAGACTAACTAAACTAAATATATTGACTAACTTTCCGATGCTTCAAATACCAATAACAAACCAATTCAAACTTATTTACTCGATTATTTATCATTAGCTTTTGTAACGCACTGCTAAAGAGTGGAACACACTTCCAGCTTTTGTGTTCCCGGAGAAATACAACCCCGGATTCTTCAAGTCTATTGTGAATAGATATCTTCTGGGTAAGCGCGCTACATCCTAGGTCTTGCCATCATTTACCATCAGATGAGGTAAGACCAAGCGCAATCCCATTATTATTAAAAAAAAACTGTAATATAATTATACTAAATTATAATAAAAATTACCTGAATACAGTATGCCTGGAGACATAATACTAAAATGGGTAACCGTGTCATGTTTCAAATAATAAAAATAATAACAACGTAACGTATTTATAGGGCTCTACAATTTTGTAATTGGTGTCTGCTTTGGAAACAATATTTTAATTTAGGGTTCCGTACCAAAAGGTAGGCAAGAAACCTTTATGAGTCATATTATTTATACCACGTAGGTGGCAAACAAGCATACGGCCCATCTGATGGTAAACGTCTTTTGTATTTCCATGTATTTTTTTTTTTTGCAGATTTCAATTTTTTGCGCACAAATTTTTTTTTTAAATAATTCTATACAAGTTTCACTATCAAGCCCCAACCTAAGTAAAGCTTGTGTTTTGGGTACTAGACAACTGACATAAATAGTTACTCAAAGTTTTTTTTGGTAAATATACATATAATATATGAATATACATATATAATACTTAGGAACAATTATACTCATTAATACACCTGTTTGCGTCGTGAGAGTAATCGAACCTGCCACCATCGGAAGCAAGGCGATGTTAAACTGCTAGATCACCAAGGATGTAATCTACCTACCTACGGCCTACTTAAATTAAATTTGTCGTTATCATTAATTAAAATGATAATTAATAAAAAAAAAATAGTAGTAGGACTTCAACAAAAAAAACTATTAAAAGTACATCAAAATATATTACTACGGAACTGTTAATCAGCGTATCAAACTGTCAATTGACCAGTTTTGTTGCAAAAACAATACACCCATCTTTCCGTGTCCTGTAATATTGCTACAATAAAAAAAATTATGTCACCATGTTGTATTACAAAATTTAACATAATATTATCTTTACTTATATCTCTTGCTATATATAATATTTAGTAATATATTATAGATTATAATATAAAATACGTGATCAGACAAATTTTTAGTCAATTTCCTACATATAATATAGATACAAAACTATTTGCAAAGGTTAAAATAATGGCGGCAAAACATTTTATTTTTTTCTCGTCGATTATATTAGCTCAGGTATAAAATTTTTACTATCTATATACAGTCGTACAGAGTAGGTATTCGAAACTATAAGTAAGGTATATAATACATCAAATTGAACCAACTTATCGCGAAACAATGTGGATATATCAATATATTGCAGTTTTCATACTAAAATTAATGAACTGCTGCTGACAGTGTTTGTGTTTTGTAACCTTACCTACCTACCTCGTATAAAAGATTTTCAAAATATTTCTAATAATTACAAAATTTAGTCTCTTTTCATATTTCTTTATTCCAATACTTTACATAAGGTTAATACGTAGAGAAAAATTCATAAAACATAAACAAACTTTATGAGTATCCCGGGCAAAGTTTCTAAGACCTAAAGGGCGTCTAATAATAACAATAATTAACTGTTATATTCTTTATTTCAGATAGTCAACTCCCAACATTTAAACCACGGAAACATACTAACAAACAACTTAGCGAACAATGGGATAACAACAAACAATATGGCATCAAACGCATTCGTAAACAATCTTGCAAATAGTAACATTGGATCTATTAATACTAATTTAGGATCTACCGTATTTGGAAATACAAATTTAGCAAACAATCTCGATTCAAATGTCTTTGGAGTAACAAGCCGAGTTGGGGGAAATTACCCTGTATCACTTGCTAACAATGCACCAAATCTATTAGGAAGTACTGTAATCTCTGAAGAGTTATTACCAAATATTGGCGCCCAATTTGATGGCATTGCAACATCTAATAGTGGAACTTTTTCAGTTGCCAGTTCTTCTCCAAACAAACCTATTGGATTGTCTGTTTACTCAGACAATTTGGTAATCGAAGGCCCTGTTATGGTGACCGGAATACTACCATTTTTAGCGACTGTAGCAGTTGAAGGCAGTATACCAACATATGGCAATGGTGCAGCGAGTTGCGGCTGTGGTGACAATAATGTGGGTATTGTTAATGAACTGCCCGGTCTGACCACAGACGAAGGTCTGGCGTCGAATTACGTAGGTGGTAACCTAGATGTTAGACCTGGACAACCTAGTGTCGTATACTAAGATGTTATTTATATATTATATTGTAATAAATTATTCCTTCAAATTTTATTCTATTTATTTTTATTTAATGTTCTATCTGTAAACCATATTTTAAGTCTCATTAGCGATTGATTTCTACATTCTTCTAATTTCAATTTGCGATCATTGGTATTATAGCATAGAGTCGCCCACCGTCCTGTTTTCCCAGTATATGTCCTAATTTTTTTAAGTCCTTGGACGTTCTACATAAAATAAACCTTGAAAATAAACACAGATTTCTATATTTTTTATTAAGGCCCTTTAGTTTTCTGTACTCTACAGTTGTCAAAACAAACTTTCCTATATCTATTAAAACACTTCCATTACGGTTTCACCTAACAAACTTGAACCAGTACTTTCACAATCATTTTCAACGTGACTTATCTCTGTAACATCTTACACATGTAACTGATAAAACATTATAGGTATTTATAATCAAACTATTACATTGTAATCGATGAATTTAATATTTTTTTTTATGTAATTGAAATTGCAAATAAGTTGATGACCCACCTGGTAAGCAGTGGCCATCGCCTATAGGGGAAGGGGACTGTTAGTAATGTGGGCTAATAACCCCATTACTAGCAATGTACCATGTCAGGTTGACTTCCATGTGATTCCCCCTGGAAACCATTGTGATAAATTCATAGTGAATATACCACGATGGGCTAACTGACCAGACCTCATCTTGTTATCCTCCATTGGTGTCCTGTCAGTGTAAACCGTGTGGGCAGGTGAGAGAGAACGCCCATAAAAAAAAAAGTATCGCCTATATACAAGAACAGCAACCACGGAAAGCATGTAATTAATAAAAAAATGGAGAGTTCAAAAATCTTCAAATAAATATTTATTTCATACCTTACTTACGGTTATTATATTTAACATATACTTAATAACCTATTATATGAAAAATACGTCATAAACCTGTAGTCGTTTTTACATGAAATAGACAAACAATCTGTTGTAGCATCGTCACGATTTTATGATAGGTTAAAATGATAAATATTTTTTTGTATCTACAATTTTATTTTACTAATTTGCATTTTTAATGAATGAATATGGAGTGGGCACCAGTGGACGATAGGACGAGCATGAAATCAGGTCAGTTAGCCCTTTGAGGCACAGACCAGAAACTAACGGCGATAATTTCTAGTAAAAAGGAGGAGAGGTCTATCTGTTAGGATTAATTTGTTAATAGATTTACTTGAATGACAAACGTACATTGCAAACGTTCATGAACTCTGTTTTTATTTAATGTTAGAGTTACATAAATACACAATATAGTCTTTAAAAAAATCTATTGAGTTTCTTGCCAGTTCTTCTCAATTGGATCTGTATACTGAACTGGACGGTAGGAAAACGATTAAATACAAAAAAATTGACGTTGATAAGATGCTAAAATGAATAAATAAATTTTGATGTGTTTTGATTGGTAGATTGGTAAAGGGCCCACCTACACCAATTAAGAATAATCATTTCTCTTTCAATAAAATCTGTACAAAATACACAATTTAAGTAATATTTTAGAAATTATTATGATTTATCTATTAATTCCTTATAATATTGGCAAGAACGATCGAAATCGGGGATCGGAAACTAATTTATGATATCCGTATAATATCGCTGAAATCTACACCCGGGTCACAAGTCGCGGGAACTGCTCGGAGTTTCATGGAGTGGTAACAAGTTCATCATTCTCTCTACAGTTTCAATTGGCTAGGAAATGAAGTGTTATTAAAAACAGAGGGATTTGTGACAAATTGTGTTGTTATATGTATGTCATTCGTTGTTCATTCCAGTTACATCTTACTTAAATTAGAAACGCGAAAGTTTGTGTGTATGGATGGATAGATAGAGGATGGATGTTTTTTACTCTTTTACGCAAAAATTACTGGATGGATTTTCAGGAATATTTACAATAATATAGCTTAGTATATGCGTACAATATATATGTCTATGCCTCGCCGTTATATTAAATAAAAAATTTGAAATAGGGTTTTTTAAACACCACAGTAGAAAAGTGACTTAAGATTTGAACATTATTAAGGTTCTATCACAGATAACATAATATTACATACAGATACCCCATCCCATACAAGAAAATGGTTCCTTCCTAACTCGGGCTATTCTTCGGGCTATTTTATTTCGCCACCGTAGCCGCTAGATGTCGCTAGATCTGAAGCAGTTCGGATTACTAGTGGGTGCTTAGTAACAAAGCATGAAAATAGATGGCAGTGAATTCAGTCTACATGACATCTGTTTTGCAAAGATATGTATATAATAGATATGTAGGTAACTGTATCGTGTACCTCATTAGGGACGATTCAAGATTCAATGTAAATGTGTAGGTATAATATCGTTAGCCGACACTCTGCAGATATGGCTTATGTGCCAATGTATATACCTATTGTGTTATGGTTTATTTTACATTCCATGCCTATTTTTTTTGATATGTTGTAACGCGTCTGCGCTATACGTATAGCCTGATTTTGATACGTTTATACTCGTACGTATCAAAATCGGGCTATACGATTTTTTATTTCAATCGTTATATGTATGAGACTGATTTTAGCTACAATTAATTTACTGGTATATACCTCATGTATTCTACGATGTACCCCTCTTTTACCTAATGAGAATTCCGCTATATCTTATATATAAATTTTGTATCACAGTGTTAGTTGCCATATTTCTCCCACATTTTGATGAAATTTGATATGTATACTTCCCAGGTCTGAGGTAGGGTTGTTATCTATTTTTTATACCCCTAAGTCATAGGGGTGGCCTACCCCGAAAAAAATATTTTTTTGTATTATGGACAATTTTTTATTTATTTATAATGTTACATTGAAAATACATACACGCCTAAATTTTCACCCGTCTTTCACCAACCCCTATTTTTAATAGCGATATTCTTACAAATATTATAAATGCTAAAGTAACTCAGTCTGTCTGTTTGTCTCGCTTTCACGCCAAAACTACTGAACTGATTTAATTGAAATTTGGTAGACAGATAATGTAGACCCTGAGAAAGGCTACTTTTTAATGCGAAAAAGTATTGAAAGGGGAAATGAAAGGCTATATGAGGATATCGTAATTTTTAAAGTCAGATCTTGTAAGATTAAGTGAACAGGGTCGGTCTAGGTTTTTCATTATTAGAAATGTGTAACGGGGTAACACGTTATTTAGTGCGAAATTGTGTATATTACAATAAAATTTAACGAGAAAATATTATAATGATATCACTGGGACACTCATTGCCTTACTACTATATCGTCCGTTAGTCGCGAACTTTCTGGAAACACGAGAGGCGCTATCCTATTGGTCGGTCGGCGCGGTTACCGCGCGTAGATGAGTAGATGAAGTACTTAGACGAGTCTCACGGCGCCGCAGCGTAAGTACTTACTATACATACGTAGTATACATATGGGTATTACAAATGTTTTTATTACTAGTAATATTACTCTGTTATCTAAGCAAGTAATGTGTGCTTATTTTGAACTTGATAACATTCTGAATTACTCGTATATCTTTCAATATCTTTAGCGGTATAAACCAGGTTATGTACTACTACTAGTATTGTTAGTGAGGGATAAAGTTGATGAACAAAAATAAAACAATATTCGTATTAAAAATATATTCATCTAATATTTTTGGCATTATTTTTAAGTTTCTTCCAAATATAAGGGGTCTGACATGGGGTGTTATGTACCTACATTAAAAAATACTTTTTGAAATGTATGAAAGAAACGTATTGTATGAAATTTTTGAAATGTGTGAAATGTATGCACCTACATTAAAATAAAATTTTTGAAATGTATGAAAGAAATGTATTGTATGAAATTTTTGAAATGTGTGAAAATATATGTACCTACATTAAAATATAATTTTTGAAATGTATGAGATGTATGAAAACAATGTATGTACCTACATAAAAAGTTCATTTTTGAAATGTATGAAATGTATGAAAGAAATGTATGTACCTACATTAAAAGATAATTTTTGACATGTATGAAATGTATGAAAGAAATGTATGTACCTACATTAAAAGATAATTTTTGACATGTATGAAATGTATGAAAGAAATGTATGTACCTACAATAAAATATAATTTTTGAAATGTATGAAAGTAATGTATGTACCTACATTAAAATATAATTTTTGAAATGTATGAAATTTTTGAAATGCATGAGATGTATGAAAGAAATGTACCTACATAAAAAGTTCATTTTTGAAATGTATGAAATGTATGAAAGAAATGTATGTACATTAAAATATAATTTTTGAAATGTATGAGATGTATGAAAACAATGTATGTACCTACATAAAAAGTTCATTTTTGAAATGTATGAAATGTATGAAATAAATGTATGTACCTACATTAAAAGATATTTTTGACATGTATGAAATGTATGAAAGAAATGTATGTACCTACATTAAAAGATAATTTTTGACATGTATGAAATGTATGAAAGAAATGTTTGTACCTACATTAAAATATAATTTTTGAAATGTATGCACCGTACAATAACAATACACGTTAAACATCATACCACAGAGTCATACGCAAGTTAAAAACAAACTGCTATGATATTAATGAGAAAGGAAAATAAACTTTATGGTATTCGAGTTAGGGTCGATTTCTCTCTTTTTTTAAAACTATTTTAATCTTACCAGTTGCCAGTATTCGAAGACAGCTACGATTCGTACTCGATATTTTAAATTATTATGTAATCGATTTTTCAGTACAAATGTAAATAACCAACGACACTAATAATGTACTACTATATTCCGTTCTTTGAAACGGAATACTGCTATACTTAATACAAAATAATGAAAATTTACTGTTCACAACGACTCATTAAAAGCATCATCGAATAATGCGCTGTAATAAAATCCTGTTATCGATTATTAAAAAAAATCGATAATACATGTATTTATTTTTAATATGACAACACTTCATACATAAGTATTATTGGAAATAGTATTATTTGCTTGTTCGGCTATTTTTAATTTACTTAAACTTTTTTTATATGTTTAATAAAATATAGTTTATTAAATAAAGTATAGTTTATTGGAAAATATAAAAAAGACATTTAATTAGGCCGATACAAATGACAACAATGCCATCTATGAAAGCATTTTGAAAACATTATATATTAGCACTGATTAAAGTGTAATTAAGTACTGGAAAATAACAAAATGAGTAAATATATGAAAATTACTTTTCTAAACGCATTATTTCATTTTAACATGTATATATATTTTTTTAAAAATGGATTAAACTATTTTGAAGACACAGTTTTGTTTTTTAAAACGTTTCCAAAACTATGAAGAATTCCATCGATACCAATCACGCCATCTATATGCAACTTTTAGCAATAATAATGGCTATTTCCTCATTGAGTGCCACTGGTTCTATTGTCAAAAACTATATACTTCTATAATCGTCCGTGCGTGTCAAATACATTTTTATTGATTTAATGCGTTTTTTTATAAATAATAATAAAAATAAGTTTAATACTCCTCCGTCCGCGTGATTTTCTTAAAAAGGTACAAAGTTTTAGCTTCACGTATTAACAGCGCCATCTAGTCATGTATACGCAAACAACTTTATACAAAGTCTACTTTGTAAAAAATATACTTACATAAGCACATACAGTGTTATTAAATACATCGCTTACCAATCTATAATTGCGTACCTTTACGCATTACCCATAGATAAAGAAACCTTACTTCATATTTATAATTTCCATTGACAATTTCGTAAAGCTATTGAATAATACGATTAATGTACTAATTGTAGATAATGTATTATTTATAAAAGCAAATAATAATATAACATTAGTTCATTTTAAAGGGAATTTTCAAAAATGGTTCACCTTCGAGTTACTTTTGTTTGCGTACTGTCTTTATTGCTGAAAGTAAGTAATAATAGTAGGTTTGACTACTATTTTATATATCGTAATCTAGAAACTGACTGCGGCTTCTCTTATAGCTTTGTTATTTTTGTATATATAACGACAATACATAGAAAAATGTATCTTTCAAAATGTGTAAGAATTTTATTACCTATAGGAACCAGTGAGTAACGGGAGTAAATTTTAATTTTCATTAAATTAAATCACTACAATAATTGCACTAGTGTACTGAGTGAAAGCACTGCAAGACACTGATTTGCACGTATAGTGGGAAAAAAATAAAGTGTGTGTAGCTGTCATATTATAACTAGATATTCCTTCATCCATTCCAGCATCTTTAGAAATATTTACAGCATTCTGTCTTAGTGTTGAATATTTCATAATTTTGAGGTTTTGTATTTCTAGACTTAGAAGTAGTACTTCCTAGAAGGCTATATAGCATTTGATACTCTTGCTACAAGGCTAATTCGGTAATACATAAAACCAAGTCATTAATATTGATAATTGCAACAATTTATGGTCATCTGTTATTTTTTATTCTCACTAATTAAACATTATTCTATCTTTTATACTTTATGTACGTGTAAAATATATAACTATTTTATTTCAGCATGGTTTCAGTGCACCAATACAAGGCAATTTACAATCCTTTAATTCTGGAGTTCCATTGAACTTTCCAAATGGAATTGGCAACCTTGGAGGCGGTTTTATAGGATCAAATAACTTGGGATCATCAGCTATTTCTGAAGCAGTTGCATCGAGTTCTGCTGCAAGCAATTTAGGTTTCAACAATGAAGCACTTATTGGAAACGGTTATCTCAATAATTTGGGCCATTTAAATATTGGGTCTATAGGTTCAGGTTTTGGAAATTTAGGATTAAATAATGAAGCAATCATTGGATCAAATTTTGGAAGTTTGGCCAATAGTGCACAGAGCGCAGTATTGACTGGCACCGTAGCCCAAACTGTAGCTTCTGGTCCTTTGGCTAATATTGCAGGGAATACCCAATTGGCCCCAATGGTGACAGAAATAGTACCAAGTCTGCAATTCGGGGAACTGTCTCTGGATGGCGCTTTACCAGTCGGTGGCACTATTAAAGTCAGCGGCACTTTCCCTGTTTACGGAATGATTGGAGTTGATGGTAGCATACCTTCGCACGGTACAGCCTTCATTGACACCGGTAACGGGCTGATACCGCAAGATTTGTGTCAGTGCAACCTTGCGTAATGTAGAAAATAAATGAAGTTTATTATTTGTTTATAATTTTGCTGTATCATTATTCCATTTCCTTTGACCACTTTATATTAAGTATGATTTAATGTAGAATTTAATGTACACGTACAACAATTATGACATAAAAAATCGAACAACAATTTACACAACAACAAAGAGTCAATGTCAACAATAACTCAGCATAATGATGGAAACAGCTGGAAGTGCTGTTTTTCAGTTGACCAAAGGTACTTTAACGCAAACATCTTTTTTTAATGGATTCCAATAGAATGATGCACTTGCCTGAGCTAAAGTACGCTGGCGGGGCAAAGTGGAGGATGATAAGATGAGAATGAGGTCAGGTCACTTAGTTTCCAGGAGGAACCCCCTGGAGGTCGATATGAGGTCCTAGTCCCAGTACTCACAATCCTACTACATAAATATGTATTTAACTAATTACAAGATTGGTCATTGTAACTCGGTATTATTTATTCTCTTACCTAGTGATATATTGTTAGGGGACGAGGATTGTTAGTGATGTGGGCTGCTGAATGTATCATGTCAGGCTAACTTCCACGCGGTTCCCTTTGGAAACTATCATGATAAATTTCTGGTGAAATCGTCACGATGTGATGGGATGACCTGCAATGGTGCCCCGCCAGTGTACTTTTTGTACAGATGACAGCATGTTTCCATTATCATCCATTAATATAAAAATTGTGGTAATGCGTGTTAAACGAACACCCACATAATATTTGTGTGTAATCGATATAAATCGGTGTTTATTATTCATTTTAGATTGTGCCACAATAGTATTTAAGATCGCAAGAAGATGGCAACATTACCTATGTTGCCAGCTTCATCTAAATTACAAAATTTTTTATAAAAATAAAAAACAGACTATAGTATCAAAGTAAGATAGTGTTTAAGGTTACAAACTACAATGTAATAGTAATATTCAACTACAAAATTAATCATAATAAGACGATCTCATCGCAATCATTGGCTACTAGGTATTGTCTTGCCTGGCAGCCTGACCTACTATTTTATAGGAAACTTGACCATTACAGGTTTCTAGATGCTTTTTACAGAAGTTACTTTGTAAAAACTCGTCTACGCGGGTAACTCAGTCTCACGCAGTTTGCTTTGTAAGATGTGTTCCGGTTTAAGGATGAGATTAGGCAGTGAAATTACAAATAAAATAAAATAAAAAATCATTTACTCATACACAATAGTCACATTTCAGCCGCATAACGTAATATTTTTTCCTACAGGATTTGCATGTACGACCCATTATATCTTAGTCAAACGGAATTCACTGCTTGAGTCATGAATTACCCATTAGAAAATCATTTATTCAAATAAACTTAAATAAGCACTTTTGAATAGTCTTAACAATTTGTTTTTTATCTTAATTCGTTCGGAAATTTTACAAGAAGAACTTCAAGAAACTTGTGTAGCTCTTTTAAATAATCTGGTAAGATTTACATTTACAAGTCGAAACGTGTGAAACAAACTACCAACAAGCATATTTTTTGTCAAATATAAAACACTTTCTCTGTGAAAGCAGAGTGCGTTCACTATAATTTGACGGAGATAACATGCGCTCGACCATAAGAGTTTGTAAACGATGGACATAATATACTACTCATTCCACACGACCAGCTACAAAAACTATATGGTAGTTACAGTATTCGCTTACAATATTATCAAAAGATTACGCATCATATATCAAGAAAGAGTATGAAAATTAAAATTATGCGTTGTCCGCAAATAAACTTATTCTTGCTATATATTTCATCTATAAATTCATTATCTTATAATAGGCTTTTTTACATAACATTTGTTTAATATAAGATTTGAATTGCCTCTCTGTAAGATTTAGCCAGTAGACTTATTTAAAATCACATTTATTAAAGAGCATTTAGGTAAAATTACTTATTTTTATTGCAAGTTTTCTTGGTCATTCTTCTTGAAACTATGAGTCTGCATAATATTTTCATAAATGTACTGTGAGGCAAAGAGAATATTTGATTGTTTAAAGCATTGATAAACTCTCTAATAATAAATAAAAGCTCTGTTTGTAAAATAAATATAGTATTTATATGAATAAAGAATATTTGACTAATATGGAAATCTAAAGTATTTCTTGCCGTCGGTCTGTTCATTTTATTAAGTGATATCCAGCAGAACTAATACTGTATATGGCTAATTTTACAACATACATTTCGAGTCCACTGTTCTCTCTATAAAAAAAACTGTATCATTAACAAAATTTACTATTTCATCATTAAGCAAAAAACTTGTTTTACATTAATCTTGAAATGTAATCAATTAGTTTTGTTGCTGTTCTACTCATAGATTATTACATGTGAACCAATTTAGTATAGCAGAGATTATAATTTACATCGTCAAATTGATTACATTGGCGACCAATTTTAAATATATATAGTATATGCAAATAACACTATACAACAATGTAGTCATTTATATAAATTAAAAAGAGAAATGGGCCTAATATTGAACCTTGAGGAACGCTGACTTTACACCATCAATATCTACAGCTAGAGTTTTCTTCTTAGGTCATTATCTCTAATACCATAATAAGTGTTTCATGATCTACGCAATGCCTTCGACAAGTCACAAAAACGACTTATGAGTTTTCCCATGATTCGATATATGTGTAATAAGCGCTACACCTGCATCAGTAGTAGACTTGCCGGCTGAAACCATATTGTTGATCTTGAAGCAGTCCGTTATCCCAAGTATTTTAACATTTGGTTAAACATAATCTTTTCAAATACTTTACTTAGAACTGGCAAAATAGAAATTGGTCTATAGTTTTCAAATCTATCTCCAGATTTATGGAATTAATTGGCAAATTTCATTAATTGAGGAAACACGCCATTATCAACACATTTATTGAAAATAGTAGCTAGATAAGGAGCAACAATATCTATGAATGAACTAACTACTTTAACTGACATATCCCAGAGATCTTCCGTATTTTTTAAATTTAACTGTTTGAATATTTTTATGATATGAAAAGGGCTGACATGTGAAAATTTAAATAAAAAAGACACAATGTTTTTGCTCGAATTGGAGATGAGTCGCATAATATCAATCGGAATATTAGCAAAAAAAAATCTTGAAAAAATGAACTATATCTTTTGTTGCTGTTATTAACTTATGTCATAATTTAATGAGAATTGATTGCAGGCTTTTTCAGACCGTCCAGTTTCTTTGTTTATAATTCCCCAGATGGTCTTAATTTTGTCAGAGGACTGATTAATTTGTTTATTTATAAAATAAGATTTAGCTGCAATACAAACTTGTTTGAAAATTTTAGAGTAATTTCTCACATAAAAAATATATATTTTTTTTGATCATATAAATCAAATAAAATGTTTCTAAAAATACTGTTGCCCATTCTGTAAATTTAGATTTAACACAATATTCTCTTTTCTTGAAAATATTTTATTCTTTTGACAAAAGACTAATTAACTTGGTGTAAAGTATCAGGATTATTAAGACTGACAGATTGTAACTCTAAGTCTAATTTATATTTAACCGTGCTTTTGTATTTATTAATATTGTAAGCATTTATTTGTCTTTTTGATCTTTTATTATTGGTATTTTTTTTAGTCTGATTACTAAACTTAACAACTTGACCACAGTGATCCGATGAATTTGTTGTGATGAATTTTATGTTAAATACATTTTCTAACTTAAGTCTGTAGTCATCTGGCAGATTTAGCTGCCTGAAAAAAAGATCCAAATATTGTATAAAACACTTTCTCTGTAAAAGTGCTTACTATAATTTGGAGAGATAACATTGAAGAGTTTGTAAACGATAATAATGTACTTGAAAAGAAAACTTAAATTCGTAGCGCTGACAATATTATCTGATTGCACTAGGAATGAATGCGTAGTGGTTTCTATGTTGATTATCGTATACCTCTTACTTGTTTTTGTGTAATTACTTATTTAAAATCACATTTATTCAAAAGAGAAATACACAAGTTTCTTGGTCATTCTTCTTGTGATGAGTCTGCGTTCCGAAGGTGTGGTAGAATAATAATAATAATAAAAGTGTTTGTATCAAGTTTATATGAATAAAGAATATTCCTATTTCTATTTCTTGAGTGGTGTCATTTTATTAAGTGATATCCGTAGTACTAATACTGTATATAGGCGTTACAACATACATTTAGTGTCTCTCTATAAAAAAACTGTTATTAACAGCTAACAGTAACTCTGAAAAAACTACATCAATCTTGAAATGTAATCAATTATTCGTTACTGTTCTACTCACAGAAAAGAAATAAACACTTATAAACACTGTTATGTACAAATATATATAGATATGTATAAACATACAATCTTATTTTTTCGTTCAACTCTAAAGAATGTATAGCATGTTATCTTTAGGTGGGCAATGGTGTCTGAGAAAGCGATTTCTTTAGGTGGACTTGATATTAAATAGTTTTAAGAACTATTTGTATATATATGAATTAATATAGATATATAATCTTAGTTAAGTCCCTTTTGTATTTGTTTTTTTATTTTGCACAATAAAGTTATTATTATTATTATAAATTAATTTCGGTCAATGATGGTTACGCAGACGTAGTAATAAACGGTATATTAATTGAAATGTTAACATTATTCTTATGCGGAATGTCACTGAGTTTTAGGTGAAGACTAATAGAATATTTTGATACCTAAAATATGTGAATATTTCATGGGATAACTTAAAACTGAAAGTTAAGCAATGGACGGCATGGACAAACGAATATACTATGTACTTAATATTATTAACTTCATTAGGCAGGTATTTAATCATAGCAAATGTTAACTCTTAAGTATTGCATGCAATGTATCTTAGTACACATTAAGGTAAAGGAAAAAAAGAAATAAATCAATTTAAAAAATAAAATGTTTATTGTTTTTAATGTTTTCAAGAATTGGCCATAGTCAAAAAAATCTATTTAAAGTAAATATTTCAAAATTTGTACAGCAGTAGTTTTTATAACAATTATGAATCTCAACAATATTTATATACAGTTATAACGTGAAACATACATAATATAATTATTTAATTTATGAATATATCTATTTACAGTTATTGGCGTGAAAAGTAGCATCACAGTGTAGGTTTATAATATACAATATACAATAATAGAGTAAAAGATTACAGTTAATAATAATTGTAAACAGTTGTAACCACAGAATAGAGAAAGAACTTCCTTGTTCTGTGGTTGTAACCGTAGACAACGATAATTATATAGATTCTTGTCGATGATACCATTTATGACTTTAGAGTGGTGATGTTTTTAATATTTTTAATATTGTCTATGTTTTTACTTTGTAACTATACAAAATAATAACATACACAATAAGAATAATATAAACAAATATTATGTATACTGGAATTTAAGTGTCAGGTTTACGCTTTACAAATGAGTACAGTTTTTATATAAATGAAATAAAGACTCAAATAATGCCCAAATATTTGTATAGATTATTCATACTGAGTATAAATGAGAAAATTATGTATAATATTATGGAGAAATGTCTATTTTGCATTATTGGTTATTGAGAAAATGTTACAATTTAGTTGTTTTAGTCGGTTTTGTAAATACAGTTTTACTGTAATGTTTATACGAATTCAAACTTCAATTATCATGATTATTTTGGTAACTTAGCAATTTTAGCTTAAGTGGAATGAAGTCGAAATTTGAAACTGTTTGACTCTTTTTGGAACACGGAATTTTAAATATTATTTAGACATTCATAAATTCGACATTTATTGTAAAAAAACGAAAATATATTATAAATGTTTTAAATTGAAAAATAAATGGAAATTTTGGGAACAGTTGTTAATTTTTGTAAATACTAACTCTGTATTCGGGTTTTGGTTCGGTACACTTAGGTATACCGGACTAAAACCAGAATATTTCCAACTAATCCCGTTTAGAAGATATATTTTAATAATAGATAGGTCCCAAGCCACATCCGCAGCCACCGACCACAGGCAGGGTTGATACAACATTGGGGTATGACAGTGGCAGGGTATCAGCGAGCAGACTGCTAACAGTCAACAGGGAAAGTGTATCAGCAAGACTGTTAGCTACGCTGGGGACAGCTACTGGGGCTACGGCGGGGACTGCCAACGGGGAAACTGCGGGGACTGTATATGGGGACATGGCGGGAACAATCGCTGGTGCAGGCAGAACAGTGGGGGGCAGAAGTGGGCTCGTGATTGGGGCAATCACTCGTGGTCCACAGGATCTGATGCATTGAGAGTAGACGGCCTGGAAAAATTATATATTTATTATATACGTATACATATATAGGCACTTAGTATAATACATGAAATAAATTGCAATATAAAAGTTAATTATTTCTATTATTACAAAATTTTGCTTAAAGTTTGCATAAAACTATATTAATATTTTAAGCAAACATGGCGAGTACAAATTGAACACTTTAATTTAGAAATTTGCAACCTTTATTCATAAAAACATATATGTATGTATATATAATATAAATAAAGAAAAATAAGAGTTAATTCAGTATTGTACTATATATATACATAAAAAAATGTAGTATAGGTATGTATTCTAGCTATTCAACTATTTTGAACTATTTTCTGAATTTGAAATAGGTGACATAATTTGTAATATAAATTATTTAGTGTTTTATTATAATTTTATTTATTAGTTTATATCAATGAGAGAATAAGGTTCTAATTAATCCGTTATAAATAATATAATAAAATTACCTGGAAGATCACGGCCTGGGCGAACAGAACACAAGCGAAGAATTTCATTTTTATTTTTTTGTAAAAAAAGTTTTACTATCACAGAAAGGTAACTGTTGAATGTATGTTTAAAGAATTAAAAAACGCCTATATATACTAATATAATGTCATAATATATTAGATATAGAAATAATAGAGTAATAGCACGCATTCTTATTGTAACGACATAAGGTTCGTAATCGTGCGTATCGCTTATTGGTAAAAGAAATTGTGAAATTAATTTTATCTCATTTATAACAAGTACGTGTTAATATGTATGTATGAGAAATAATATGTTATCTTCGCCTTTCATAATTACATTTACCTAATTATTATCAAAATAATATGAGACATTTCTTTTTTTTATCTAGCTAATCGTTTTTTTATGTTATGGAATGGCAAACTATCTGATGGTCGGGGGAAGGAGATTGTTATTAATATGTTATATATTATACTAGCTGTTCCCGCGACTTCGTCCGCGTGGATATTAACTTTATTTTTATAAAATAAGACAATTTTTTTAAAATAAAACATTTTTTTAAAATAAAAGTTGCCTAAGTTACTCCTTATTACGTTAGCTACCTACCAAAAAAAGTCTTGTCAAAATCGGTCCAGCCATTTCAAAGATTAGCCGGAACAAACAGACCGACAGACAGACAGACAGACAAAAATTGTAAAAAATGTTATTTTGGTGTATGTACTGTATTTATATTCATATGCATGTAGTAGAAGAGACGATTATTTCAATATTACAAACAGACACTCCAATTTTATTTATATGTATAGGTAAGCACATTGCTAGCAATGCACTATGTCATGTTGACCTCCGCGCTATTTCTCCTGGAAACCGTCATATTTAACTGTTAAACCGTATTGTTGTTGACGACACCTATTCACACAATGAACCGATGTTGCCAAAGACATCAGGGATAATTTAATATTCCAACAACACCAATTCCCAATATCCAGCTCACTACCAAGTTTCTATACGAGATTGGTTAGTCAAACAATATCCTAACCGATGAATCGGGTTGGATGGACCAATTCCGTGGCCTGCACGAAGCCCTGATCACGCCGATGGACTTTTATGTCTGGGGTCACATTAAAGACTTAGTTTATGTGACCCCAGTTAAATCTCTGGAGGAACTGCGTGAGCGAGAGAATAAATGCAGCCGTACAAATGAGAGGAAATTTTTCATCAAGAGTGACAAAAATCGAAGTACAGAAGAAGTATCCGGGCTTGCATTCGTAATCGAGGACATCATTTTGAGCAATATGTCTAACTATTCTATCATTTACCAAAGACAGGTACAAAAATGCTTTAACTTAACAATAGAAAACTTATTTAGACAAATGCACATTTATTGTTATTTGAACCTGGATTTCAAGTAATAATAATAATAATAATAATCTCTCCTTAAAAGGGGAGATGAGAATTTTTGGGAAAAAAAAAAATAATAATAATCTCAGGGCAATTCACACAGAGCCATCTAGACCCAAGTTAAGCTAGCTAGAGCTTGTGTTATGGGTACTAGATAACTGAAACATATACATAGATATTTTTTTTTGTAAATACATACATATTATACATAGAAAACACCCAGACCGATACAAACAATCATACTCATGAATACAAATGTTTGTGCCGTGCGAGGAATCGAACCCGACCACAGCGACCATTGGTCGTAAAGCGGTGTGCTTTACCGCTAGACCACGGTCGTCAAGTAATACTTACCCTTTTCTTTGTTACCTGTTTTTTAATTATTATTAACACAATTTTGGATTGCTAATTAAATGGGCAATTTATTCTAGTGATTTACCGAAAGTGTAAATTACTAAATTGCTCATAAATTTAAATTATAATTTTGTGTAATTTTTTTAATGGTTGTATTAGCTGTGTTGTGTTGTGATGAGATTATGATAGGGGTTGAATTTACAGCATCTAAGTTCCTAAATTTTATCACCTCCCGGCAGGAAGACGTCGAGTTACCAGTAACCCTGTATACTTTTTTGCATACATTTATTTATTTTCTTTTGTTTAATTGTTGTTGCTTATGCAAGGATATTTTTATATTATTTATTTAAATTTCGACTACTGGGCGATCTATATTATGGAATTTTAACCACTAGTTTACATAATTGAGTCAATTGCACATTTATTATTGCAATTAGATCTAACGTAACTTTGATATTCGACGCTGATAAAAAATATCGATAAATAATTACAATGAGATATTTATCGATTTATTTCCATAATCAATTTACATAATAGTGATGTACAATATTACTGCATAAGTACAAGATAGATTACAGTTGTAATTTCAAATATCATCTGTATCTTGTGAAGTTTGCTGGTGTTCATTAATATGTGATATTGTGAAAAAATATGAAGCACAAAGTTTATTTTGTTTTCTTGTCTGTAATTCTGATTGTGAGTACATATTACTTATCTTAATGTATACAAATAAATAAAATTGAAGTGTCTGTCGGTAATTTAAAATTAGCAGTTTTTTCACTAAATGCATATAAAAGAATTACTTACAAAAATAATATTTCATAGAATTTATATGTCACTTCTGACATCTCTAGATTTAATACAATATATAAAAAATGTACTTAAAAAACAATTCAATGAATTTATAGAAATTATGTTTTAAATCATTTACAGAAAGGATCTGCTTTGTCACCATTCAACGCTTCAAGTAATAATATAGATCAAAATCTCCTAACAGTACAGAACGGTCTCAATTTATCCGAATGGCAAAATTTATCAAAACCCATAGATAACTCTGAATTATCTACAGATTCATCTATACCATTAAATGATATTATTAATATTCCTCTAAAAAATGAAGGCAGAGAAGAGAATGAGAAAGGAACAGAAGGAAAGAGGGAAGAGATAAATAAAATTTTATATGCACATGCTGCTGTTGAACCGAAAAATGTTACTCAAGGTGTTAAAAGTAAACATAATAAGTCTATGAAAAACAACAAGATTGGAAAAGATCTTAAAGTTAAGACTACAACATATCCAAACAAAAATACTATACCACACGAAGCAAAACCATCAATAATTGAAATTATGAACAAGAAACTGAAACTGAATGCAACTAATGTACATAATTTCGATTTACCACCATCTATGATACCAATCTTTAAACACAGACATAATATAGAACCAAATTCTATAGGAAACAGAGAATTAGACCTTAGTTTTATAACAGCAGAACCTATTATCGAACAATCAAATATAACCACTGAGGCTAATGCAGGTGCATTAAATCATAATGTGAACCTTACAGATAATATGTTAACGGTTAATAATACTCTACAAAATGCATCTAAATCGCCCTACATATTTTATCTATCAACTAATAACATTAACAAAGATTCTAACATTAAACCTATTACTCCAGAATTAACTACTGATCTATCAAATCATGAAAATGGAATAACAGATCCTAATTATTTGACAACAAAATTAAATATTTCCCAAAATACACAAGTTATAACAAATGAAGGAATAACTAATGGAAATGTTGATACAAATTTTAGATTTGTGAAGTTCATTCCAATTGGACACTTACCAAACGCAGGTCTTATGGCAAATACTACTAATAGTAACAATGGACCTAATAACAACATACTAAGTTCTAACACTGTATCACAATATCAGCAAAATCCAATTGATTTAAATATTCCTAAACATAATGAGAACACAAACGCAAACCCGAACTCTAATCCTAAAGTAGCAACTTTTAATATTCCTTGTCACACAGCATCAGACGTCTTAAACGACGTACCAGTAAATTCTGTCCCGTGTGCAAGTTTAACAGAAGCAAATGTAGACTCTGTTATAAAAGAAATAAGTGATAATATTCAAGCACAACATTTAGATGAGAAAGTTGCCAACTTGAAAAATCCTGATAATTCTGTAGCAATATTGTTTAAAACGAAAGACATATCATTACTCAAGTTGTATGGTGATTTATTGAAGAAAATTACAATCACTGTTTTGGTGCCGTACCATATATCAAAGTTAGGGCAAGATACATAAATTAATAAGGTTTTTATGCCATCACAATACATATTAAAGGAAACAGTGATTGATATAAGTGACAAAATATTAGAAGTAATTACTCATATATTAGTATTAATATTGCTTACAAATTTGCCTATTAAAATGCCGTAAATAACAACAGAGATCAAATAAGTACTTTTGAGCGGTATTTTGTTCCTATATAAATAGTGCATAAATGTACGAGATTTTAAAATGAAGCTATTTTCTGTTAGTAATAGAAAATACTTTTAAATAATATATAAAACAAGGTGAAAATATATTAATACTATCAACATAACATGAGATAAAAATGGGCAGCCTTATCGCTAAACAACTGTCCTCTTCTGAGCATATATTTTCTTCGTAGAATACGAAGGTCTGCCTACTACAATAAAAATATAAAAAAATAATGGAGTAGCATAAAGTAAATTAATGTTTCTGTAATTTATTGTAAATAGCAAGGAAATAATCCTTAATTTATTGATAAGTATTATTATATTTTATGTAATAAAAACAATTTATAAATACGGTCTTTTTTTTAAGATATGTGGACCCTGTACTAAGAGAACCATCTCAATCAAATAAAAATCAGTCCATTTGTTTGGAAGGTATGATATGACAGATACAGTTAGACACGTTAAACTTACGAGTAAACACGTTTTTACGTTGCTGGTTAAAGACTAGGTAAATTTTCTAGTCATGTACTAACTCACCAGCAAACGTTTTCTCACATAAATTTAAGTAACAATGTCAATGACCTCGGTGATCTAGCGGTCTAGCACAACGCTTTACGTCCGATGGTCGCGGGTTCGATTCCTCGCACGGCACAAACATTTGTATTAATGATTATGATTGTTTGTATTAGTCTGGGTATTTTCTATGTATAATATGTATGTGTTTACGAAAAAAAATTATTTATGTATTTGTATTAGTTATCTAGTACCCATAACACAAGTTTTAGCTAGCTTAACTTGGATCTAGATGGCGCTGTGTGAATTGTCCTGAGATTATTATTATTATTAATATCAAAATTCAAAATTCTTTATTTAGGTAACACAATTTTTACAAAATATAGATCTTTATTACAAAATAAGGGCGAAAGCTAGAAGGGTGAAAAATTAGGGTTGTGTGTACTTTTAGTGCCATATCAAAAAAATATTATATAATAACGGTTCCACGAACAGTGTCAGCAATCCACTGTTCGTGACAATGAAATAATGTGTGCCATCCTGTTGCTGATTCGGCGTTTCACATTACATCGCTGATTAAGCGAAAAACAATAGAAAACACATCGGTACCAATATCGACCGGAGATAGTTATAATTATATAATAATTGTAATTGTATATGTTTATTTACAATCTCGGTGGTCTAGCAGTTTAGCACACCGCCTTACCTCCTATGGTCGCGGGTTCGATCCCCGCACGTCACAAACATTTGTATTCATGAGTTTGTATCGGTCTGGATGTTTTCTATGTATATTATGTATGCATTTACAAAAAAATATATATCTAAGTATATATAATGTAGTTTATATCAGCTATCTATTACCCATAATATAGGCTCTGCTTACAGTGGGACTAAATGGAGCTATATTAATAATCATTTAGATTAGATTAATAAAAAATGAGTTAATATTTTAAGTGAAAAGTGGGGAATCAATTTCAATGTCTTATAGATTGAAATTGATTCCCCAAATACATTATTGATAATGCAATTTGATTGTGGTTGCTCCATTTGGAACAGAGTCGTGAGGATATTTACTGTTCATTCATTGTTTAAAATCTAATACCAATAATAGCCTAAATTCAGTATTTTGAACTAAAACCGCAAATGAAAACAACTACTGTTGTTAAGGGTAAACCGGGGTAAACAAAGTGACGTCACCACAGGGAGACTGCGCATGTGCCGTGAGAACTGTTTAACACGGGGTGTTAAACAGGAAAATTTACTTAGGACTACACCCGTATTTTTAGGCTAGTATTTTTTTAAATTTTTATATCATGAATATGCTATTTTCGTAATTATTATGTACCTTGACCACTAACTACTTGAGCTAAACAGATTTTGATGATTATCTTTGCAGACTATAGAGTTCCGTAGTACCACTCATACATGTCATTTCGGAAGACTAAAGATCCGTAAAAATGCTTCCGTATCATATAATTGTACTGATATGTCATCTTTTAACCAAAACATAACTTATCAAGTTGCTTAACGCCTGAAATTAATATGACGGAGATAGTATACGGGTATGAGATACTAGGGTATTTCTATCCCGTTTACAATAAAAGAATAAAGAAAATAAAATCAAAGGTAAACATTGAATTTAGTTTTTAAAAAAATACTTTAATTGTACGATTGAATGATTATGAAAGTAAGGCTGGCCAACTGGCAATTAGACCAATATTTTTTATAGAAATGGTGGCTATTTGTCGTGTGTCTAAAATGGCATCATTTAAGCACACTATGGTAAGCCTAAACGTAACGCCTGTAATAATATAAATATCAAATACACATAATCGAACATAAAAACAGTATTTTCGAATAACCTATTTTATAATCCTTACTAAAGGAAATTCTGTTATTTCCTAAAAAAAAATGCTAAAAAGATTATTCTGATGGACATTTTTTGTAATTGGAATGGCAAACACGCTAACGGCCAATTTTATGGTAAGCAGTAACCGTCTGCTACGTAAATAAACTGAATTACGGGGGTCAAGTATAATGTGACATCCGTGATACCACACTTGCGTTACCATTCCAGTCGACAAAAGATGACCATGACTCTTATCCTGTAATTTCACAATCTAATCGCACCGTACTACCGAAACACGATTTACAAAGCAACTGGCAACTTACTACTGGCGACAGAAAACTAAGACACGTTTTATAGTCAACCTCGAGATACAGATATGGCCTTTTTGAAGACCCTTGGTAATACACAAAAAACAAGATACCATTTATTATTTAAACACAAGAATCTACCCGTGTGGAACTACACTACATCAACCCCACATAGGGTGAGACAGAGATGTTGTATATATATAATATTAAATGCTTAGATTGTATAACAAATGCGGACCAGTAGCAGTCCAGATCGCACCTTCGAGTCTGAATGTCGTTTCCCAAGCGTACACACCATTGTACAAGTCCACAAAGCGAAGAATCGATTAATGTTCTATCAAGTGAAAAAACATTACCCTTAGAAGTGTTTCGAGTGAAGTGTAAGCCCAAAGTGAAGTAATGACGTTATATGCTTTACCAGTTTACATGCTAGAGGAACAAAAGTTTAAAAGTATCGATCCGGGTAGTATGCCGTCTTTAATTTTTCGTAATCGGTAAGTGTTGCTGTTATTCACATTGTTAAATCGATATTACCGGTAATCGATATCCATTGAACGGTTTATTTTTGTATAAAACATATTGACTTCTAGAATCGATAATCTTGTTGCTAACTTCATGACAATATGATTTCGAGAACGGAACGTATTACTTGGCAAAAACAATGCGTAAATTTAGGACATGGGTATGCAATATATTATACAATTGTGTATATCCGAATAAATGAAAAAGTATAGTTTTGTGAAATACGACACTTTGTTATGACAAAACAGACGAATACAGCTATAACTCAATTTACTATTTTTGTTAAAGTGTAGCCTAGAATATTTTTTAATGAATATATTTCGTTATAAACACATGTACCTGTATATTAAATTCAAATTTAGTATGATATCACGTTAATTGTTGATTTGGTGATAAAATGTTAACTATAATAGCACCAAACAATAGGATCGATATCACAAACTACGCAATAACAATCACTGTAATTATGAAGTACTATAGTAATAAGAAGTAAAATAAAAAGAGATATTTTAAAAGTACTTACCTGAGTTGAATACGTTAATACGTAGAAAAAAAAACTTTAAGACGTTGTAAATTATTTGTTACTTTTTATTAGTGCATTATCAATTTCTACGTGAAAAGGAACATTGCAAAAATAGAAACGTCACGTTTCCGGCAGCCATTACAAGAAAAAAATACATTAAGCAACTAAATTCAGAAGTATGCTATACACATGACCTTTGTATACAAACATTGTCCTATATAACTTTAAAAATATTACTACTCAGCCGTACTTCAGGTTGCATTATTATTCATCACAATTATGAAATTATCTTCACTTTAAGTTGACGGGTTGGTTTAGTAGTACCTTTCCTACGCAATTTCTTTGCAATCTCTTACGGTTTTGACCGTGTTTTTTGTTAAAAAGTTATAACAAGGCGCAATTACGATTTGCCAAGATGACGAAGATAATACAACAATTAAACTTTAGTAGTAGTATTAGTAATTACTATGATGGTGCTGGAATTGAACCTGACGCTGTGAAGGAGAAGAACTATTTGTAAGTATTTAGATATCTATAAATCTATATTATCTGTGTCATTGCAAACTATGGCTTTTTACCAACGAGTATTTAAGGAATGTACCTTGATCATTTGACTTTCGAACAAAGGTTTTAATGTCCTTGATATGCACGTCATCATGGTATGTTCTGGTTAAACATCTACCCTTCGTTTTAGAAGAAAAACTACTCATTCTATATTTAAATAATAACTGTACATTAACCTGCATTTTAATTAAAAGTAAAGACTAGACAATTGTATATGATATTTATTAAAATATTTCCAGCCAGCTCTATCAATCGATCTATTAAATAGTCGAACAATAAGAAATGACGACTAAAAAATATGTAACTAAATTCTTTTTTCAAATATTATGAAATCACAAGAACCTTTTTATATTTTTTCTAGTCAAGGACAGAATAAAATCTTATTCAGAATCATAAAAAAATAAAGATTACAGGTATGCTAACCCATTGAATAGTAACATCAACATAGACAACAAAAACTTATATTCCAACTGAACTGAATAAATTGATTGCACCACCATATGAAGGCCTTTTAAAATTATTTTTATGGTAATTGGAATGCTAATCTAGTTGATAGTCCAGCCTATTGATAATAAACATTCCCTACATATAAGATCAGCTAATGCATTGTCATTTTGGAGGACTAAGATGCCATACCCTGTAATTTTACTGTCAAAATTCACCCTTCAACAATTAGCTGAACTCGGTGGTAGGGTTAATAATAAAAATATCATTACACAGAAACCAAAAGGTATATGTTTATAGTTAAGTTTGGGTTAGGTCTACCTTCACGCAGTTTCCCTAGGAAACCATTCTGGTTAATTTGTGGTGAATTCACCACTAGCATACCTACTCCATTACAAGCAATGTACCAAGTTAGGTTGGCCCCCATGCAGTCCATAGTCATTATGATTTCTGGTGAATTTATAACAATGGGCCAACCAACCTGACCTCATGCTCATCCTATCATCCTTTACTAGTACCTGTGTAAACCGTTAGCACAGGTGGGTGCACCATTCCATCATCTAAAATAACATTTAGATATAAACAGAAAGTGTTGTGGGTTGTTATTAACAATGACATAGAGTGTAGTTTGTTATAAAAAGAGGAAACCATACAGCTGCAAGCATATTGCAAGTACAAGTGTGTTGCAGGCTTCAGTTGTATAAAGTTACTTGAGTCAACTTTATTTAATTATATGTATGGTTTGGAACATTGTGCTCTTTGGTAGGGTTATTTAATTTATTGTTCAGATTCTTACTTGTTCTTGTGATGAATCTGCATTCCAAATGAGTGTGAGAACAAAAAAAATGTGACTATTCAAATGTATATTTGTATATTAACTTTATTTGAATAATATAAAGATTATGCCCTTGTCTTGTCAGTTCTCAATTAAATCTGTAACCTAAACGGACAGTTGGTGAAAGAAATATTAATACTAAAATTTAGTTGGATAAATAACAAAAATGTCATACATGTACAAATGATTTTTTAATCTGAATTGTTACTTACATTTTACTGTTATATACAAGAGGGTGAAATTATAAAGTACAGAGACATGACACCATAGACCTCAGAATTGGTGTCTCATTAGGGATACCACAGATATGAAAATATGATGTCTATAGTACTGTTCATGTATATAGGCATTGTTTGCCACTTTCAGTTTGTTTCTGATGTTTCTATAAACTAGTTGTTATGCAGAAAATTTGTCAAATATCAATTCAAATGAAAATGCCTTTATTAGTTTAGGTCTTAAGGTTGAAATCAAATCAATATTCATCCTTATTTATATGAGTCTTATTACATACTTATGAGAAATGAGTATGTAGTAATTAGATAGTTGGGAATGTAGTTTCAAAACAAGGAGAATTGACAGAAAACTTAGCTCTTACTCTCTTTCTTCAAATTATCTTGTACATGATTACAAAAATATAGATTTATGTATGTTGAAATTAAATCAGAAAGACTAGACTGTTTTCATCATATTTGAAACTATTCAATTTTTGTCTCTGTCTGTTTGTTCCGTTTATATCTGAAATGGCTGGACTTTTTTTTGACAGCTGATAGTAACTTAGGCTACATTTATTTTAGAAAACAAAGTTAAATTCTATGCGGAGGAAGTCACGGGAATAGCTAGTATGTATAATATACGTACTGTGTGATGCTGGGGCTGGGTAGCTAGTATAAATATAAGTCATGTACAATAAAGATAAAATCCAAGATATGGTAATACTGAGTGGTATTGTAGATATTTGCACAAGAATATGTACCTATATTTAGTTCTATTTGTGTTTCTCTGCAATAAGACCCCCTTATCTGTTGACAATGAAACATTTAGATTGTTCGTTTAAATTAATTGGCGGCAATTGGCCTTGGTTGTTGATTTGATGACGAGATTTAGTGTACCATAGACAATGTATAATAGATACATTACTTTTATACACATTTTTGGTGTTCTAATAGAAATAAATATAAATTATATTCAACAAACAAATCGTCAGCGTGGGCAGTATCTCTGTCTTATCTAATTCAGACGACAAAGAAATTGCTTTGTAAGATTTTATCACTCGTACTACCTGACTGATGTTGTTTTGCCATTTGAATTGAAGCCCTAATATTGCTATAAAAAATAAGGGTTAATGGTAGTGTGGTGGAAATCTGAAGTTGTATCTTTGTCATTTTATTTTTAATTATCTACATAGTAAATTAAGTTTAATTATATGTACATTTTATTTGATCTTTTTTTTTCGTTTGTTTTTATATTGTATTTTTTACATTGTGAAAAAGCACTGAATAAATATTCTTTCTTCTTCTTCTTCTTATCTATTTCTCAATGTTAAATCATAATAAAATAATATAAAATTAGGGGTGTGTCAATATTATCATGGGAGAGGTATGAAAAATAGAAATTGGCCGATTGGACAAAATTTAATAAATATCGATAAAGCCATTTGGTAAAAGTTTTGTAACAAACATCGCGACACTAGAATTTCATATATTAGATAAAAATATATTTTTTGTAGATATATGTATCTATTTTTATTATTATAACATGCATTCTTATTATGCTGTTAAGTTTATTTTAATAAAGATTACTTCTATTTCTATATGTTTTGTATGTAACACCTATTTCTGAATTATAATTCTTTATTCATAACTTCTTTATGAAATACCCGTAATATTGTTTGACATTTAAATAAAACAATTTATTATGTAGATACGATAGTTATTGTTTGTTTACATAATAAAAATTCTGTTTTGTATACAAAATTGTTATATTATTATTTTTTATTTATAATCCTTGATCAGAATTCTTTGTAACTTCTTGATAAAAATGAAAAACAGTCTTAGTGTGGGTGCTATCGTGATAATCTCCGTAACATAAAATACTTATCTCTTGTAGTATTTGTTTTTAGATGGCAAATACATTTATCGTTACCTGGAATAATAATTTTTATATACCTACATATTTAATAAAAATCCTAACTTCTATATATAGTTTTTTTAATAGATGATAATGGAGTGTTTCTTTGAATGCGCTAACGGTATACTCTAGAAGGAAGGGGATTGTTAGTAATGTGGACTAATTTGCCCCATTGCCAGCAATGTACCACGCGGTTCCTCCTGGAGATTTTCGTGGTAAATTGCCATTTGCCGAGATGCAGTTACTGATTTCTGTTTCTGACTGCATGCTTATTTTATCATCCTCCACTGGTGCTCCGCCAGCATAAACCGCCTACGTAACAGAATAAAATAACATAACACATCTTATATATAAAATTCTCGTGTCACTATGTTAGTTCCGAAACGGATTGACCGATTATGAATTTTTATCTGCAAATATAGTAGGTTCGAGAATTGGCTACTATTTATTTTTCGCACTCCTAAGTGATAAGGGTTGTCCACCGCAAAATATTTTTTTATTTTTTGGATTTTTATAATTTTATATTTGTATGATGTGGCATTAAAAATACATAAACCTACATTTTCACCCTTCTACCACCAACCCCTATTTTTTAATAGCGAGGTCAGCTAGCAATCTTATATGAATAAGGAACGATTTTTAAAGTATCTACGTCATTCGATCATAACAAAATTAGCAAAATTTGTTATTAAAAAGTCACGAATAGAATTGTAAACATACATTATATATATTTAGAAATGACAAAGACAATCACATGCGACTACGTTAACAAGGTTGAATTGTTTTTATGGTAATGAAGTAAAGATAACTACACATATATGTATACAAACTGATTTCTTCGACTTTGTTTATCTATAGTTCTAAATACTGTTGATAAACGAAAATATTTTACGTACTACTCTTATGCTGTGGTCCGAAGATTGCTCTTACAGCTCTAAAAATCCGATCCCTAGTTCTTGCATAAGAGACTAACAAAAATCCATCCATATTCACACACTTTTGGCGTTTATTTAAGTTATATTATTATTATTAGGGTATAGAATATTAATGTGGTATGACTTATGGTTTGTTTGAATATTTCTACCAAAACATTTCTACCACGGTAGACCATTCTCGAACATTACGACCATACAATTTCACGGCTACATTTCTCCACACAACACGCCATGTAACCGATGTCGACAATTTTCCAAAATAGAACGAGGCATAATACAGCTACAACCACGCCCGGTCTCGTTTTTAAAAATAAAAAGTAAACAGCTTTCGCGCCAATACGACCGCGTGACTTTTGTTTGTTTTGGTTCTTTTTTAATTTCCCGTTACAAATGGAATATTGTTACGTGTTCCTGTAATTGCAATATTTGGAGAATTTTTAGGTTGATAAGGTGGCCAACATACGAATAATATTGGATTGATATGACCACCTTTAGATAAGTTTTTGTTATCTCTGGATGAAATTCGAGCGTTAGTAATTAGTAGCACCTTTGGTATCATATGTCAAGTCGACCTCCAAAAAGAAATAATAAGAGAGGAGGGTGGGCGACAA